CTCCCTTTCCCATGCTATGGGCCCTGGTCATGGTGCTGGTGACTGGATACTGCTGTCTGTAGCAGAGCTGCTTCAGCCTCTTTCTTCTTTCCCTTTGTTACCTCCCCAGGATCCGCTTCTCCTCCCACCCCACCCTTAGTCATCCCCTGTGATGTCAGCTTGTGTGTGCCTGTGGGTATGCACCTGTGGGGATGCTGAGAGGAAACAGCCTCTCCTGGGAAAAGTGAGCGGGGATCTGCAGCATGTTAGGGGCTCCCATTCCCAAAACAACCCCATGGGATATGGTTCAGCCCTGGCCTAGGAAGTGGTAACTGGACTCTGCCCATGTCTTGTGTCCTGGGTCAGCCCCTCCTCTCTCTGGGACTGGGTTTCCCAAGTGTCTAATGAGGGGTTGGACTGGAACTGCATATGGAGGCCTCACCGTGGACCCTGTCCGACTTCTCCATACTTGGTGGGTGTGTGGGATGTGCTCTGGGTGCCCTTGGGCCTCCTAATGAGTGGACATGTGTGGACTTTGAAGGGGATGCCTGGGCCTCATGTCCATGGCCACACGTGCACACAGGGTCTGCATGGGCCCCAGGTGGCAGGTGCACCAGAGCCACACTGCACAGCACATTGCACGTGTCCCACATGTCCCCTGGTTCCTGTCTCCTGCAACCAGGAAGTAAGCCAACCTTACTTAAACACATGGACTTGGGGGAAGGGAGTAGTTCCCCAAGGGGAAACTGGACCTCTGTGACTGCTAGAAGTGGCCATGGATGTGGGACCGGTGAGAGCCTCAGATCTTTATAATCATGCCGGTCGCCTCCACCCCTGCCTCTTGTAGGAGCGTGTGTCCCAGGGAAGGGCAGGACTGGTCCCAGCTCACAGAGATTCAGGGAAAAGTGAGTACCTCAGCTGGAGTTAGATTTGTCTACACAGAGCAGAAAGTTCAGAACAGTTGTGGCATAGACCAGAGAGAATGCTTTCTCTCTCCTGTTAAAGAACTCTGGAGGTGGCTGTCCATGGTGACCGGGGTTGTCCCCACGGCCATCAGCCAGCACCTGTCCTGCTGTCCCAGAGTCTCAGTAGCTGACTTCTGTCCTCAATGCTGTCTCTGGACCCCAGAGGGCTGTGCTTCAGAGGTAGGCAGAGGAGAGAAGGAAGGACCAAGACCCGCTCAGCTGTGTGAGTTCCAGGCAAGCAGCTTCCCCGAGCCCCTCACAGTACCTCTGCTCATGCCCAGTTAGCTTGGACTTGTTCTGGTCACCTTAGCTACAAGGTAGGTTAGTTAGCAGCAGTAGCCTTTTTGCTTGGCAAATTGCTGCCCAGGATAAAACCGAGCCCTCTGTTCTTAAGAAAGAGGGAAATATGAAAATCCCGGGTGAAGACCAGCATTGTCTCCCTACACTGAACTGCAAGATGAAGGGGAGGGACTGAGTTACCCTTCGATAAATTGGGAATTTATTTGTCTAAAGCAGACTCTCTTTTCTTGGTATTTATTCATTGAAGAGAGAGAAAAAGTCACGACTCTTAGCCGGGATGTGTGAGTAGGACGGCTGTTTTCAGTGCCTAAGCAGGACGATAGGAAGCAATGTGTTGGCTTCTACCTGCCTGTAATTTATAAGGAGCTCTGAGAAAATCCTCTTCTGTTTCATCAATGGGGGCAAGGCCAGCACAGGGGTTTATGGAGACGTCTAGGCAAGCAGCATGTTCCTGGAAGCTAAGACTAATTTAAATCTCTGTAAACTAAAAAAGTAGAATGCTTTGACCCCACCGTTTTGACTAGAGATACTTTAATTCTCATAGTGAAGACTAATAATACAACTAATGCATGCAAAATGGATAATGGTTAAAACTGTATGTGGTACAACTTATGATGACTAAAAATTGTTGGAAGAAAAATATTTTGGAAAATATTTTGTTGTGTTTAATTTGATCTGGAAAAGGTGACTTAAAGAAATACTGATTCCTGAATAAAACTTACAATAGCAGAATCTGTAGTCAGTTAATTTTGATGTGGCCCAAAATGGAGTCATTTAAATAAAAAATAAATAATCTTGATAAAATAGTTCTGGTGAATTAAAAATAAGAGTCGATGAGCTAGAGGCTGGGCCTGGTGGCTCACATCTGTAATTCCAGCACTTTGGGAGGCCGAGGCAGGTGGATCACTTGAGACCAGGAGTTCAAGACTCACCTGGCCAACATGGTGAAACCCTGTTTCTACTGAAAATACAAAAAGTAGCCAGGCATAGGTGAGGCATGCCTGTAATAACAGCTACAAAGGAGGCTGAGGCAGGAGAATGACCTGAGCCCGGGAGGTGGAGGTTGCAGAGAGCTGAGATGATGCCACTGCACTTCAGCCTGGGTGACAGAGCAAGACTCTGTATATATATATTAAAAAAGTGGATCGGTTATAATTGGGTTTCTATCCTGTAGTTTTATAAAATGGATCAAGGTTTTAAAATGTCTGAATAAAATTTGCCCTGGACAGCTGCCCAACCTTGACCTGCTCAATCTCTTCCAGACCTTCTGCCAGAAAGGGGGCCTGTTGTGCACGCTTCAGGGTAAGCTGCAACCCTAGGACTGGATGTCGTTGGCCAGACGACTGCAGGGCCTGCAGACACTACTGCTCATGGCTCTGTGGCAGGCCTCCTGCCACCCCCACCACTCCTATGGCCTCTTCTTGTGCTACCGCCAGTACAAGTATGACTTGGTGGCAGTGGGCAAGGCTTTGGAGGGCATGTTCTGCAAGCTCAACCACCTCCTGCAGCACCTGCACCAGCCGTTCTTCCTCTACCTGCTCCCCACCCTCTCTTGCTTCGTCTCCATCTGCCTCTACTTGCCTGCCACCGACTTCTTGCTCCTGGTCCTTGGTTTCAAGGCTCTGAAACTGTGGATGCAGCTGCCTGAGGCTGGAGTGGGCCTTGAGGAGCCCGGGGGAGGGGGGGGTCCCTGGCCCCAGTGTCCTGCCTCCCCCAGCAGAGGGTGGTAAGCCCTCAGGTCCCAGACACGGGCTGGATGGTGCGGAAGCTGGTAGCCCTGATCTGCCTAGCACTGCAGCTGGGCTGCATCATCCTCACCAGTTTCTCACTGGACTTCTTGCTGGCTGTCACTATGGTGCCTGCTTCTACGCTCGCCGAGCCTCATGGGCCCCGGACCCTCTACACTGCACTGCTGGCGCTGACAAGCCCGGCGGCCACGCTCCTTGGCAACCCATTCCTGTGGCAGGAGCTGCAGGAGGCACCACTGTCACTGGCCGAAGGCTGTCAGCTCTTCCTTGCAGTACTGGCCCAGGGTGTGCTGGAGCACCACACCTAAGGCGCCCTGCTCTTCCCACTGCTGTCCCTGGGCCTCTACCCCTGCTGGCTGCTTTCCTGGCATGTGCTCTTCTGGAAGTGAGATCTGCCTGTCCACGGCACCAGGCTGGGACAGAGACTCCCCAAGGACCCCATTCTGCCTCCTTCTGGGGAAATAAACAAGTGTGTGTTTCAGCTGCTTTAAAAAAAAAATGTGCCGGAAAATACTTTGTTAACAAAAAGATTTAAATATTGGTATAATTCTGATTTAAATGTTTTATTTAGCACAGAATCAAATATAGCATAGGAACAAAGTTTTCTGAGACAAAATGGCTGGGTTAAAATGGGTTTAAATGTCTAGAAACATACTTAGCTAAGTTAGCAGTGTGGTTAAGTTTTTACTTATTTTGTTTTTGAGATGGAATTTCCCTCTTGTTGCCCAGGCTGGAGTGCAGTGGTGCAATCTCGGCTCACTGCAACCTCCACCTCCAAGGTTCAAGTGATTCTCCTGCCTCAGCCTCCTGAGTAGCTGGGATTAGAGGCACTCGCCACCACGCCCAGCTAATTTTTGTATTTTTAGTAGAGATGGGGTTTTGCCATGTTGACCAGGCTGGCCTCGAACTCCTGACCTCAGGTGATCCATTCTCTATGGCCTCCCGAAGTGCTAGAATTACAGGCATGGGCCACTGCCTCTGGCCAAGTTTTTTTTTTCTTTTTTCTTTTGAGATGGAGTCTCGCTCTGCCGCCCAGGCTGGAATGCAGTGGCGCCATCTAGGCTCACTGCAACCTCTGCCTCCTGGACTTAAGCAATTCCCCTGCCTCAGCCTCCTGAGTAGCTTGGATTACGGGCACCCACCACCACACCTGGTTAATTTTTTATATTTTTAGTAGAGATGGGGTTTCACCATGTTGGCCAGGCTGGTCTTGAACTCTTGACCTCAAGTGATCTGCCTTCCTTGGCCTCTCAAAGTGCTGGGACTACAGGCAAGCCAATGCGTCCGGCCTCAGGCCAAGGTTTTAAGCAGATGAATTAGTTATATTGTACTGAAGTACCAGATGACTCCCCCAGATTTCATTGACTTCACATATTTTGGGCCCACCAGAGCTTGCTGGCTGGGCGTTCAGGATAGAGGCTGCTCCCCTCTGCATGGCCACGCAGGAACCCAGAATCTTTCCATCAGGTGCCTTCGTCATCTCTGGGACCTCCTCCCACCTGCATCTACCGGTAGAAGGGGAGAGTGTGAGAAAGGCGTTGGAGGCTTTTGTGGGCCAGCTCTGGAAGTGGCTCACGTTAGTCCATTGTCTCCCTTTGGCAAAAGCTGGTCATAGGACTACACCTAACACAAGGGGACTGTGAACTAGACTCTTCTCCCTCCCTCCCTCCCTCCCCCCCCTTCCTTCCTTCCTTCCTTCCTTCCTTCCTTCCTTCCTTCCTTCCTTCTTTCCTTCCTTCGTGAACTAGACCCTCCCTCCCTCCCTCCCTCCCTCCCTCCCTCCCTGCCTCCCTCCCTCCCTGCCTCCCTTCCTTCCTTCCTTCTTTCCTTCCTTCGTGAACTAGACCCTCCCTCCCTCCCTGCCTCCCTCCCTCCCTTCCCTCCCTCCCTTTCCTTCCTTCCTTCCTTCCTTCCTTCCTTCCTTCCTTCCTTCCTTCCTTCCTTCCTTCCTTCGTGAACTAGACCCTCCCTCCCTCCCTCCCTTCCTTCCCTTTCTTCATTCATTTATGGTTTAGGCCCCATAGCCTACAGTCCTCTATTAGAGTGAGGGTCCCGAGAACCAGCCCCCATATATGATGGGTCCACTTGAGCCTCCTTAGGCGCTCCATGAGGGAGTGATATTCTGGGTAGGGAGACAGGGACCTCGCCCGGCCTGACACCTGAGCAGGGGAGCCGCCCCAGTCCCCACCCCCACCCCAGCAGAGGGCGGGGCGCGAACCGGAGTCAAATCTCTGGCCGGGTCCAAGGGCCTGAGCGCCCGGTTTAGGCTGGAAATGGTCTAGTTCTCAGAGGTGGTCTAGTCCCTAACCAGTCCCAGGCGCAGCCCCAGCGCGGCACCACCTGGAAGGTTCAAGTACGTGGAGGAGAGGAGTAAGGCGGACTTCAGCATATGGAGAAAGGGGTGAAGGGAAAAAGAAGACTTGCTCTCAGGAGGGAGCGTGGCCTAGGGGCGGGAACCACGGGTCCTGCAGCGGGCGTGGCCGACTGTGCGGGAGGTCGCGGATCCACCGTGGGCGAGACCAGGCCCCAGCCCCACCAGGACGCGGGGTGCACGGCCAGGTGGCGCTCCAGCAGCTCCTGGTGAGAGAAGACCTTGCAACAGGCGGGGCAGGGCGCGCGCTGGCCGGTGAGTGCGCATGTGCACATTGAGCGAACTCTTCTGCGTGAAGCGCTGGGCGCAGACAGCGCACTGGAAGGCGCGCACGCCGGTGTGCGTGACCGTGTACTTGAGCAGGTAGTCGCGCAGCAAGAAGGATCGCCAGCACACGGCGCACTGGTGCGGCTTCTCCCCCGAGTGGATGAACGTGTGCTTGGTGTAGTTTTCCTCTGAGCTGAACGTCTTGGGACAGTGGCCGCACTCATAAGCAGGTGGCTCGGCACCTGGAGTGCGAGCAGAGGTGCCTGAGGGGGCTGTGGTGGGAGCAGCACAGGGAGCCGGGGCTTCCCACAGCTGAGTGCCGGGGGCTGCCTCAGGTTGGAGTGTGGGGTAGAAGGCGGGTGAGGGGGCAGGGCTGGCCCGGATGGCGCTGAAGGGAGTGGTGCGGGGGGTCCGGGAGCTCCCAAGTGAAAGGGGAAGCGTGCGACAGGCGGCCCTGAGGTCTTCACGCCAGGCGGGCGGGGTCCAGCCAGTATGCAGTCGGGCTGGACAGGGGTCTCGGTGGGACAGCCTTCGGGGACAGCGCCATCTGGAAATACGTCCTCTGCTGCCCCAGATCCCCGAAGAAAATCCCTCCCGCACCACTGTAGTCAGCGAGGCCAGTGGGTGCAGGGGCCTCCTCGCACGCGCTATCAGCAGCAGCAGTGAGGAAGCCGGCAGCACAGTCTGGGAAGGAATGAGGGGCCTGGCTCTCTCCCGGGCCGCCACCTTCGCCGTGCTCGCCATCGGTCTCATCGTCAGTTTCTTCGTCATCGTTGTCACCTCGGTCGTCAGGGGCCGCGGACAGTGACGGATCGGCACCAAGCCCCTCGGATTTGGCAGGTGTCGGGGGCGCAGGCAGCTGCAAACGCGCAGGCTGGCGCTGCTTACAGCTGTGCGCGGCACAGGGGTGCCCCCGGGGATGCGCAGCCAGCAGGTGGCGCCGGCGGCGACGCAGCTGCGCAGGTGCCAGTGGCGGGGGCACAGGGGTGGGCAGGGGCGCGGGTGCAGAGGTGCTTGGGACTTGAGCGCCTGCGATAATCTGTGTGCATTTGTGATAACTGTCTGTATGCGAAGCACCGACGAAGCCATGTGCACCTGCAGGGCTTCATCTTGTGCCCCAAGGAGCGAACTGCCATACAGGAACCCGACTAGCTGGCGCATCGTCTGCACGGGCACCACCAAAGGTACACGGATCTCAGAGTGGCCGAGTAGCAGCTTGTCTTGGAAGGAGGGCGAGCCGACTGCCAGCACGCAGCGGTGCGCACGCAGCGAAGCTTCACGAATGCACACAGTCAAGTCGCTGAAGTGCCCACCCAGCTTCTGCCCATTGAGGGTCTCAAGCAGAGAACTTGAGAAGTTCTGCGGGTGTATATGGCGCACAGCAGCCGCCAACTCCGACTCCTCTTCAGGCTCCAGGCCCGGCCGTGGCCGCCTTCTCCTACCTGACTCCAAGGCGGCACTTCCGGGCGCTTCTCTTTATTTTTATACAGTTTTATTGAGATATACTTTACATGCTATCCAGCCTGTCTATTTAAAGTGTACCGTGCAAGGGGTTTTTGTATATTCACAGAGTTGTGTCGCCGTCACCATCATTTTAGAACATTCATCAGCCCAGAAGAAACCGTGTGCGCATCAGCAGGCACTGCCCGTTTACCCGATCTGCCCCGACCTAGGAAATCCGTAATCACTTTCAGTCTATGGATTTGCCTGTTCTAGACCATTCATATAAATGAAGTCACACAACACTGGGTCTTATGTGACTGACTTCTATCAAAGTTTGCAAAGTTTATTCATGTTCATGGCATGTATCAGTAGCTTGTTACTTTTTAGGTTTGACTTCTGTTACTTACCTACACCCTATTTTATCTCTTCTGCAGTTTGTGGGATTTAGGTTGTTTCTACCTTTTGACTATTGTAAATAATGCTGCTCTGAGCATTCACATACAGGCTTTTCACATGATTTCACTGCTCCAGATCTAGGAGTGCAGTTGCTGTAGTATATGGCAACCCCGTGTTTCACTTTTTGACGAAGTACCAGACTGCTTTTCAAAGGACAGCATCATTTTATATTCCTGCCAGCAATGTCGAGGGATCCAATTGCTACACATTCTCACAAACACTTATTGTTATCTGTCTCTCTAGTTATTGCCTTCCTGATGGATGTGGAGTGCTTTCTCATTGGTTTTTGATTTGCACTGTTTAAATGAGTTATAAGATTGGGCATATTTTCGTGTGTTTATTGGCTGCTTGTATATCTTCTTTGGAGAAATGTCTATTCAGATCGTCTCTCCATTTTAAAATTGTGTTATTTTCTTTTTTACTATTGACTTGTAAATGTTCAAACATATATATATATATATATATATATATATATAGAGAGAGAGAGAGAGAGAGAGAGAGAGAGAGACACGGAGTCTTGCTCTGTCGCCAGGCTGGAGTGCAGTGGCACGATCTTGATTCATTGCAACCTCCGCCTCTGGGGTTCAGGTGATTCTCCTGCCTCAGCTTCCTGAGTAGCTGGTACTACAGGTGTGCACCACCACACCCGGCTAATTTTTGTATTTTTAGTAGAGACGGGGTTTCACCATGTTGGCCAACATGGTCTCGATCTCCTGACCTTGTTAATCCACCCACCTCAGTCTCCCAGAGTGCTGGGATTACAGACGTGAGCCACCACGCTCGGCCCAAACATATTATTATACAATTCTCTTCTTAGACACAGGATTTGCAAACATTTTATTTCACATTGTAATTATTTTTTCATTTTTTTGAAAGTCTGCTTTGATACACGAATGTTTGTGATTTTTATAAAGTACAGTTTATGTATATTTTCTGTTATAGTTGTGGTTTTGGTATCATATCTATAAAATCATTGCCTAACCCAAGGTCACAAAGTCTCAGTCCCATATTTTCTCCTATGTGTACTAAACTTTTGGCTCTTATATTTAGGTCTTTGATCCATTTAGGGTTAACTTTTATAAATGGTGTGAGGGAGGGGACTAACTTCAGTCTGTACATGTGAACATCAATTTGTCCCAGGACTTTTTTTTTTGCAACATAAGCTTTATTCAGGGAATTTATGTACAGGGAGCCCAGGAGCAGCAGGTGAGACAAGAAATCTCCTCGTGTTTGTCAAACGCATGCAGGTTATATGATATTCTTCCCAGAGGAATCTCCACTTAGCAACCTCTGCCAAGAAACCCCCACCTAGCCCAAAACAAAAGGGCTTGGTTCCTTGCATGACCTCTGATCCAAGGAATGTGCCAGCGCTGAAGTGTTCCTTACAGGTATGATGTAAACATTTGGATTAGCCTTTTTGTTCAGCTGGGAACGCTGAACAAAAATTCACCAAGGAACGTACAGTCATTTTCAGAAGATGCTTGAGTTGTAGCTATCTGACAGGACAAGCCAAACCTGCGCTGCACCCCAGCATACCTTTGAATGGCCCTCAAATTCTCACCACACTGTTTTTCTGTGGTTTCCCTGGGGCCAGTTTTGTGCAAGAGCATTGCTGCCAAACAACCCAGCAGCAATATAAGCCACAACAAAGGATTGTAAATGCAGTTGCAATTACACTAGATACAAAGTTCCTCCATGTGTCTGGGACTTGATTAAACCATGAGGTGATAGGACCATAAGACAAAGACTATGACTGGACTCTGGTTATCTAAAGCCAGTATAGCCTGTGTTATGTTATGAGAGTAGTGAGGGTTATTTAAACAACATTTTGTGTTAATTAATGCTCAAGTTCCACCCTGGGCAGCAGTTATGTGATTTTAGGTCATATGTCCTGGGTCACACAATTTTGCAGAGGAACACACCTGACTCGATGGTTTCTTCATTGAGAAGATTAAAAGGATGATGAGTATCACAAAGGCTGCAGCTATGTGTTTAGCCAGGGCCTCAGTTGTCACTCTGTGATTATGGTTTCCACTTTGGAAGTAAACGTGGCCAAAGGGAAGAACCACCAGGATGCACGTTTCTGGTGATGTCTAGCTTCTCCTGTTTCCCAGTAATTGAGGGTCGTGTCTAAATGGGGCACTATGTGCTCTGGCCATTCAGGATGCCCTGAGGTGCATCTGCCAGTCTAATTAAATGGCAAGTAAGGCCAGGTGTGGGTGCTGCAGGCCCACAGCCATCTGCATGGGGAGGGGGAGGCACTCGCATGTAGGGACTTGTTCTACATCCCAGCTGTGTGTCATTGCTTTAGTGTCCCAGGACATTTTTGAAAAGACTATTTACTGCCCAGTGAATTGCCTTGTCTCCCTTGTCAAAGTCACAACAATTACTGTCCTCATTTTTGTATCTGGTCACATGTTCCTAGTTGGTAATTATAACTACCTTCTTGCACTACCCATTCTGTATTCCCTTAGCTTTCAGCAAGAAACTCAGTTGGTCTTGGTTCTTTATATGGGATGATGACCCAAACCTTCCTTCCTGAAGGAATTGGGCCATTGGCAGCTGTGCTTGAATTGAGTTGTAGTTTTCTGTTAAATTAATCACAGGGCATGGTAGTAGGTAGCACTGAAGACACTCTAGAAGATCTCCTGTATTCCAAAAGTATTATTTCTTTCTTCTACTGTGGAGTAGAAGTAATTTCCCCTTGGTAGTCAGGGTCAACCACCCCTGCCAGCACGGTAGCTCCCTTCTTTGCCTGTTTATTCAAAGGCATGAGGAGCTCAGAGTGGACAGGGATTATCTTAACTTCTTGTTCAGTAGAATCATTTCTTTGTATTCTGTGGGATGCACTCCTCCTTTTGGGACCAAGACTTCTAGACTAGCAGAGCATAAGATTGAGGGACAGGAAATGAAAATTTTGCTAGTGTGTCACTAGGGGTAATAGTGATGATGAGAACCAATTTGTGTGGGAGACCACAAGGATGGATAAGGCACTCTGTAAGTCTAGACAGTAGTGTAATTTTTATGAAGTACAATTTATCAGGTGTAAATTGTATGGTGACAGGAACATTGAGGGTAGGAGGGGAAATTCTCATATATAGTGAGACCTGCCCCTTTTATGATGGAAGTGGTTCAGAGCCACAGCCAGGTTGCCTTGGGAGTGGAAGTCCATGTTGCAGAGCCCAGGCATCACCTCCGACCCCGCCACCATGGCCACTGTATCCATGAGCCCATTGAGCAACAACAGGGGTGGCTGGGGAGAGAAGCTGAGTGGTGTCCACACAACCGGTCATCCTATCTGCTTGATTATTGAAATCCTTCTCCACCAAGGCCACTTTGGAGAGCATTTACATAGCACTCAATGCACTCTTGCTTTTGATTTACTATTTTACTAGGTCGAACCAGTCCTAGTGTCTTATAATTGGGTTTTCCTATCATAATTGTCCTCCGTCCATAGGTGAGACAACGAACGTAGGGATGCTGAAAGTTGCCGAGTATATGTCTATTCCAACCACAGGGTGGGTTCAGGAACACATTGGATCCACTGTGATACAGACATGAGCTAACACTCCATTTAACAACTGACCTCCATAAGTCCCTGCTCCGGTGGACCACAGTGATGTTTTTGGTCTCCGGGAATTCCTGCCAAATCAGAGCGAGTGTCCACTAATTCCCCAAATATCTGAGAATTTTTTTTTTCTCCAAGTCACAGTCATTCTGGTAGAAGGCTGTAGGTCCCTTTGGGGAAGACTGGGAGAAAGATTAACAATGTAAAATTTTGGCAATGTAGCAGCATACTTCCCCAAGATCACCCAGCCTCCCCTTCACTTAAGGGGTTGTGGGCCTGTGAACTGGCTCAAGTCTGGGAATTGACAGAGGGTTTTAGATCTGTGTGTCATTCATTTGAGTTAGTCTTCTATTCAGTTGACCTAGAATTCTTCATTTTTTAAAGAACAAGTAAGACTTTGGTACAGCCCATTAGCTCTCCCCTGTGGATACCGTGGACTACACAATGCTGTAGGTTGCTGTAGGTTTCAAACCATTCTGACTGCTGCTTTAACACTGCTTTCCACTGTGGTGATCACACTTACCTCATCTTTGATGATTAAGGACAGCTCATGTTCCCTGCCACCCCAGGATTCAATTATCCTCGTTTTATTTAAAGATCCTAGTCCAGTGGCAGCAGTTCCTGCTGTAACATTTTGCCTACTGAGAGCACAAGCTCAAAGCTCTTCCAGGATACTGGGCTCCTCTCACAATATTCTTTCTCGTGATCGTTGTGAGAAGTATGTTCTCTAAACCCTCCGGTGTGAGTGAGCAGGTCTGACATAATAAATCCAATCTTCCTCATGTGCACAGGAAAGTTATGTGCACAACTTTCCTGTGTACATAAACCAAGGAAGTTGTGGCATCTCAACTTTGTGTACCTTAGGTAAACTCTGATTCTGTTTCAGCCAACCAACCAAGCAACCAAAGAAACAAGCAAACAGCCAACAAATCAACCAACAAGCAAGCAAGCAAGCAAGCAAGACACAAACCAACCAAATAACCAAGCAAGCCATGAAGCAACCAATC